CTGTCATGTCTATTGTAGCTTAAACTCATTCAGGCAGTACTGGAAGCTAGACTAATACCAAAAAAAAAGAGCTCCTCTACAAAAAGTATACTGAGATCTGATAACCAAGCTCATCACACAAACAATACAAAGACAAGAAACGACTGCTTCAGGTACACTCCTTCCTGTTTAATAAAAAAAAAAAAAAAAAAAAAGGACACTTTTGAGCTTGTGCTAGAGAGTGGGATAACCAGGATGTACCTAAGTTGTGCAACCTGGGCACTCAGCAGTGCAACTGCATTCCTGGTTGCTCCATCATACAGCTTCAGGTTTCTGTGGGAATACACCACAAATCTATCTTTGCCTAACTCTCACATTTTCATGCTCTTTGACCCAGGTTTACACATAGGCCTACTGTAATGACATGGAAAAGACTGAAAAAGCATTTTAATTGTAAACTGATCCCATTATGAGAAACAATAGCATGGCATAAACCCTCAGAAAACATTTATTCTAGAGCAAATGCTTTACATACCCAGAAACATGTGTTTAGGGCAGGTTGGATGGGGCGTTAAGCAATCTGGTTTAGTGAAAGGTGTTCCTACCCATGGCAGAGAAGTTGGAACTAGATGATACTTAAGGCCTCTTCCAAACCAAACCATTCTGTGATTCTATCATTCAAAGTACTGTAGTTGCACCATCTAGCCTCATGACTAAGAATGGATACTTAAAACGTCTTTTTTTGTGGCAAGAGATCTTTTCCCTAGTGAAAGAGCAGGCTAAGCAGCCATGACTACTATTACCCCAGTACTTAAACCAAACCCATGTCCCACAGCTAAAACAAGACTATAAGGAAGAAACAGAATTGACCATTATATAAAAGTATCTGTAAATACATTTCAATGTAAAATAAAAGCACATGGGCTTGAGAAACTTTCATTGATCTGCTTTTCATTGCTGTTCTGTCCTTGAAGAATGTAACTGAAGGATCTTGCAGTCAAATAGATTTTGAAGAAGACATGGAAAAAGTAAGTGGTGCCTCTGAAGATCTAATTTCCTCAAGCATAAGCAGCTGCACTGCGAAATCCTACCGACAAAGAAAGATGTCTTTCCAAGCCTATCCACCCACTTTTCCTGAAATTCCTGTTTCTGAAATTCAGCCTTGTCAAGCTGATGAGTCACAGTGACAGTCTGCTACTTTACAAGGAGAAAATTTTAATCTCAATTTAGGCACTAAAATAGAAATAAGTGGATAGCTGACAAGGACAATTATAACCATATTTATGGGCCTACCATAAATCAGGAAGTTTTTCCTAAGACAAGACTTAAGGTTTAATTAAACTTGTAATAATATCTTGTGTGGATGAATAACATCTGCAGAATGTCTACCAGAAGTAGTGCATGGGAAAAGTGAAGAACTGGATTGCCCTTTGACTGAGTCAAGTTCTCATTTCTTGCCTTTACTGTTTATTTCTGATAGCCTGGAAGTAGCACAATAAATATTAAATTTGCTGCAGTCATCTAGACAGCAGTTTTTAATGCAATAATAAAACCAAACTTGATATATCTTTCTTTGCTCATTATTTATATTAGTGAAACAGCCAGTAGATACGCAGTGATGTAACCAAGAACAAAATTTATCCTACTCACTCTAAAAATCAAAGTTGTAGGTAGTATTATAGAATGAAAAATCAATGCCTGGTAGATAAAGAGGAAGGATAGACTCCCATATTGCCAAGTCTCTCTCTGTCCTCACTTGTTAAACCGTAACCTTTTCATAAAAAAACTATATTCTACTATTTGATTTTAAGAAACTAATTTCAAAGTTGGCTGCTAGGATCTCTATGCAGTATTGTAAATACATAATAATAAATAATGTACAATGAGAATGCGTTGTCCTGTGCTGTATATCAGAGATTAAAAATTGTGTTTAATTGAAACAAATAGTCCCAACTGTATACCAAGCCTGGGACATATAATATAAATATTTTATTAAAATTCAGATATTTCTGGAAACCTATAAACTTATCTACATTTGTATTTGGTAGTCAGTAGGGAAGCAGTGAATTTAAACTAAGTAAAATTTATTTAAAAAAAAAATATTTTCCCTTATTTTAAAAATGATTTTGTGTAATTATGAAAGAATATTTTAAACTGTTCTATAATTTTTCTGACTTCCAGATGTATCTGGCATATAAGACATATGAAAAGGGGATTCTTTCCATTGCTATCAGAGGATGTTGGATAAAACCAGACAAGTCCTCTCTTTAGAGTACATGTAGAGGAAAATTAAATGGTTCTCTATTCAGAGATACCTCTCTGTTCCTAAACTTGCCTACAGGTTCCTATCTGTATTAATTAATATCAAATGACTTTATAAATGTTAATTACGTGTCTCATGAGGTTCTACCTTTCACATGAGATAAAGTCAATGATAACAAAATGTTTCTGTCCAGAAATGTAAACATCTACAGAAGTAATGCTTAAGAATAAACTGAAAATGCATGCCAATATTTACCACTTTGTGTACCTCAGACCATGCTGTATATATTAGGAAAATCAACCTCGTAATTTTTATTATTTTCACTCAGTAGCTGTTGTTACTAGGTTTACTTAATACTTAGCAGTATACACACCTATCATAGAGTATTTCCCCTCAGAACTCTGCCTGAAGCTTTCTATTGGAAGGGCTTTGATGAGAGAAGGACTAAATCGAGGTAAAAAATTGCTGTAAACACCATAGCTGTATTTTCAAGCACCTTCCTGGTCACTCAGGGAGATCATGATACTTTTATGGGATGCCTAGTAACATTCACTTCAGTCTTCAAAAATACCAATAAAGGGATATTTAGACAAGCAAGAGCCACTTGTTGTTCAGCTCAGGTCAACACTTGCAGATTTCACAATGTGTAAAAGAAATACTTTTGAGCATCCAGCAATAAATCCGTGGGCATGACACACGTAGGTGTCAGTGATGAGGCTTGAACAAGGTAGGCCCAGGAATATAATTCTGTACTGGTAGTATTTCTGAAATATTTTTGGTTTTTTAGAATAGATGGAAACTATGGAGACTTTCAGAATATTAGTTATATGATGAGAACAAGAGAAATGTCAGTGTATGATCATAAAATACAGAACAGTGAAGGCTGTCTCCTTGTGTAATCCTGAGCACATAAGAAAAAACCAAACAAGGTCTTCATGAAGGATAGTTCATTTTGGAAACAGGCAAGACCTCTGAGAGTTACCAGTGAGACTGCGGTTCACATATATCTGGCAGAAAAGTCATCAGTTCAGAATTCAAGTTTAGAAATATGAAGGTCTAATTTTATTTTGAGAATTCCTGAAAGTTCAGCTAAGAAAGGAGTGCAATTGATCTCACGTGGTCTACTTCAGACCCTTTAGAAGGAAATATATTTATTTTTTTTCAGCATGATCAGCAGTGTTGTAAAACTTAGTCATTAATGTAGAAATATAGGTGTTAAAGGTGTGGTTAGTATGTCAAGAGAGGTTCTCCTCCCCCTCTATTCTGCCTTGGTGAGGCTGCATCTGGAGTATTGTGTCCAGTTCTGGGCCCCTCAATTCAAGAAGGACAGGGAACTGCTTGAAAGAGTCCAGCGCAGAGCCACAAAGATGATTAAGGAAGTGGAACATCTCCCTTGTGAGGAAAGGCTGAGGGAGCTGGGTCTCTTGAGCTTGGAGGAGACTGAGGGGCGACCTCATCAATGTTTAGAACATTAAGGGTGAGTGTCAGGAGAACAGAGCCAGGCTTTCTCACTGATGTTCCATGATAGGACAAGGGGCAACGGGTGCAAACTTGAACATAGGAGGTTCAACATAGACATCAGAAAAAACTTCTTTACTGTGAGAGTGACAGAGCACTGGAACAGGCTGCCCAGAGAGGTTATGGAGTCTCCTTCACTGGAGACATTCAAAACCCACCTGGACAAGTTCCTGTGTGATGTGCTCTGGGTGACCCTGCTCTGGCAGGGGGGTTGGACTAGATGGTCTTTCGAGGTCCCTTCCAACCCCTAGGATTCTGTGATTCTGTGAAAACCCAGTACTCTGAATAAAGAAACAAAGAGTGAGGAAGAACGTAGGGCAAGCATGGGAAACAACAAAATAAAATAGTCATAAATAATCCTACAACTGAACAAGCCAAGTCACTGTCTTTACTTTTCTTCACAAATTCTATGCACCATGCAAGGAAAGAGGATATTTCAGTAAATATTATTTTTAGGATTTTGCAGTGTGAATAATCATAATGCATCACCATTTACATCCACACAGTAAATACATAATCACAGCTCTATGTTGGTCCTCTGTCATTGGCAACTGTGAATTAGTAATAGTTATGAACAAGTTACGTGTTTTTTTCCTTGCAACTTTGAGCTTTTCTAAGAACACTTTTGAAGTTCTACTGACCTCTGTAGACACTAAAATACAGCAGAAAATTCTCACATCTGGAAAAGTGTACTTGTTTACATGCATTTACTTAGCAGTCAGTCCATCAACTCCAGTATTTAATGAAGTGAGTTTTTTTTCCTTTTGGCAGAACGATTTATTTGTATTAGAAACACGCATAATTTCCAGGAAAAGATTCTTGCAGCCACCTGTAGATGCTTCATGAATGACTGATCTATGTAGATACCATAGGTAAACAGAAAAAGGATTTGAATTTTAAATTGCAGCTTGCAGACTGCTAAATCTTGCTGCAGAGTACTCTGGGCAGCATGTTGAAGACCCTCTAGGTATTTCTTTAGTGGGCATTTAAAACCAGCGCAAATAAATGGACTAAGGACAACAAACTTCATTAATCATCATAGCTACAGTATCAAGGCTAACCTAATAAAAGGATTAACAATGTACAACTACTGAATAAAGACGTGAAAGGAAAGCTTTTACCTTAATATTCAGTATTCAGGATGGGTCCCCTGAAGCAGACTTTATCATCTCTTTTCAACTGCTTTAGGGAAACACCATCTCTCTTTTTGGGAATGGTGAGATGGGACAGCTGCCTAGACATGGATGAAGAGCACGTGAATTTTGCTAGAAGAGATGAACTGAGCAGAGCTCATTGTGAGGAGAAAGAGGAACTAGATGGACCCCTGAACTTTGAGCTCGATATTTGCCAACAGGATCCAGAATACAAGACCCTGGCTCCCCTGCCCAGTACCCAGGTTAGACTGATCACCAGCTGGGAAGCAGGATGGAATGTAACAAATGCCATTCAGGTAATCTTTTACTTTCCCAATCATTACAAATGTCATTTGAAAAACTTGGTCATCACATAACCTGCTTTATTCTACTTAACCATACCGTCGTTTTGCAATATTCTAAAAGATTTCTAGTAATTTATCTCTAACATATTTCCATCTTTCTGCATACGATTAGAACTCTGAAAAAAAAAAAAAAAATCCTAAGGGAAAAACAAGTGCTAGCTAAAGTTTAAAAAAAATATTTAAACTAAGTGAAAATGAAAAATTGGTGATCGCACCTGTTTTGGAATTGTGGGCATCATCTTTAATAAGTGTATTTGAATTCAGTGACAGAAATGTTCGATGGAAAAGTGAGGTAAACATCTAATAAAAGGAGGATATTAAGAGCCAGAGTGATGTCAGACATAAATTTACTGACATGTAAATTAGACTACATATAAATTGGAGCATGAAGCACAAGAACTGTAATAATACTTGTCAATGTTAAAGAAAATAGGTTGAAAAGACTGAAAGCATTTGGTCCCAGCATTCTGTGTGGAATTTGAGCGTTTTTCTGAGTCCTTAAATTTAGCATCAAATGTTTCATATTTTTTCTCACTTTATGATTAATTTCCTTACATAATTTTACCATTACCACTAACTTTAATTATAGAAAAATAGTCCTTTGAGTTTCACACAAGTTTGTGATTATGCTGATGAACATTTGTTTGTGCATCCAATTCATCCCTCAGCTCTGCAAAGGAGGAGAAAAAGGATATAGTGCTAACTCTGCTGTATTTTCAGACATGAGCACCACCCCATGAGAGCCAATGCAATAACATCCAGGGGACGTTAACTCAGAAAAGTATGAAGTCCTAAAATACCTCAGCTACATTCTAATAACACAATTTAACTGCAGTCTCCTTCAGCAGCATCTAGTTAGGACAGAAGTCTGGGGTGAGAACCCATTGTTGTGTCTGTGAACTTTGATTTCACTGAAGCCAAGATTTAATTTTGGAAGTCAATTCTGTCAATATTTGCTGTACAATCTCTTGGCAAGTCATGTTCTCTCCCACCCATTGTTTTTCTTTCTGAAAAACAAAAGTATAAACACACTGAAGTGCCTAAAAAGAATGAGTGTCACTATGTACACAATTGCTATTCATTATTAAGATTTTAACTTCCAGTAAAAAAAATTAAAGCTATGACACAGTGTAAAAACACTGTCAAACATACAACAATGTATTTAAAAACAGGGCAAATTTATACCAAATTATCCAATCACAACAGTAGCCATGGTTGTAGCCAAAACCCTCAGCACACTGAGTGTTCCATACTGCTGCTGGATCTCATTCAGTCAAATGTCTTAGAAATCAGCATTAAAAGGGCAATTGGCTACAGCTGTACTGAGGTTTTCTCCTAAGGCAGGCTGAAAGTGGTAAAGCCTGGGAGCTGTAGTTTCATTAATAGTAAAACTGAAGTGTCCTCAAGTCACATGGTGAAACTGCATATGTGAGCACATATGTGAATTGACACAGGCGAGTGTATATACTTCCAGTGCCTTGTCATTTGGTTTAAGAACAAGAGGAGAGAACAGAGAAAGGGAAGGGGAAGGACAGGAGAGGAAGAGACAGGAGAGAACATTAAAGGAGCATCTGTCACTATAAAAATAACAGTTTGAAGAAAATTTTATGAACAGCTTTATAGAGAATGTCAATTGATAACAGAATGATTAGGCTTGAGGTCATCTAAAGAACCTGAACAGGCCCATGGGACCTGATGAGATGCATCCATGGGAGCTAAAGGAACTGGCAGATTAAGTTGCTAAACCACTATCCATCGTATTTGAGAAGCTGTGGCAGAGCTGACATGCATTTGCAGCCCAGAAAGCCAGCCATGTCCTGAGCTGAATCAAAAGAAGTACGGTCAGCAGGTTGAGAGAGGTGATTCTCCACCTTCACTCTTCTCTTCTGAGACCCAATCTGGAGTTCTGTGTCCAGTTCTGGAGCCCTCAACACAGGAAAGATATGGAACTGTTGGAGTGAGTCCACAGGAGGGCCACAAAGGTGATCAGAGGGCTGGATCACCTCTGCTGTGAAGACAGACTGAGAGAGTTGGGGCTGTTCAGCCTGAAGAAGAGAAGGCTCATGGAGACCATACAGCAGCCTTCCAGTAGCTGAAAAGGCCTACAGGAAAGCTGGACTTTTTACCAGGGTGTGTAGTGATAGGACAAGGGGTAAATGTTTTTAAGCAGGAAGATGGGAGATTTAGGTTAGACATGAGGAAGAAATTCTTTAGTGTGAGGATGGTGAGATGCTGGAACAGGTTGCCCAGGGAAGTTGTGGGCCCCCCATCCCCAGTTGGAGGTGTCCCTGCCCATGCAGGGGGGTTGGAACTAGATGATCTCTAAGGTCCCTCCCAACCTAAACCATTCTGTGATTAAAACAATCCAAACATTTTTGAGTGCTGCAGAGAATCTATACTAAAATAGCAGCTGATTTTTGCCCTACCCAGAGGAAAGAACAGAAGACTTTTGTATGGCAATTGTAGGTAAATATTTCAGCACAATTCCAAAGTGTTATAAACAGTCATTCCAGTGAATATGGTTATTCTAAAAGTGAAATTATTTTACAATTCAGATTTATTATAGGAATTATTTGGTCTCTGAAATGAAATACAAGGGCTTTCTTATAGTATATTAAATGCAAATATTTTCAAACAAACAGGTAGAGATTTGTATTTTGTTTTTAAATTCAACTGAAAAAATATGCATTTTTGGTTATTATATTGTATTTGTAAATGATTGCTTCAGACATTTAAAGTTTCCAGGGAAACATGCTTTGTATTCTAACACTGCACAGGCAAAGGAAAACCTCTATCCAGTTAATCTAGGGACAGAAGTCATAAAGCTGAGTTAATTCAAAAGGGAAAATGAGCAGAAGCATCTGTCAGAGTGATAGAAGTTGAATTTGTTTATATATAGCAGTAAAAGGCCAAAAAATGTTGTACAGACTTGTACAGTAATGGTGGATAGATAAGCAAAGCAAGTCACAAAGAAGAAGATAGTTGAGTTCTAAAGATACAGCACTTCACAGCAGAGCCAAAGGACAATAAAGTCTGTTTATTTGCCAGCCACATGTAGGAGGATTGTTGCAAACACTATGGAGAATGTTTGTCCAAGAAAGAGAAGCCAAAGTAAAAGAAAAAGGCACTCAGTCTACACCAACATGAAGGGGTACAAGACAATAAAGAATGGAGAAAAAACAAGAGAAAGGGAAGAAGTGAAATAATGGCAAGAAGCAAAATTATGTTCATCTTAGCATAACTGTAAATTTACACGATTTTTAGTCTTTCTCCACGTAGGTCTCAAGAACACAAACAAGTTTAACAGTGAAAAAAAAGTCAGCCAATTTACCAGGCAGCTCCAAAGAGCTTGCAGTATTTTAATGCTTGTACAGTTTTTAAAATGCTATGTAATCTAAGCACAGAGTTCTGCGCTGGACATTTAGTAAGACATGATGTATCAAATGATACTTTTTTTTTTTTTTTTTTTTTTTTGGAGAGGGGGGTTCATTCAATGTATCTGATATCTAATATAGCCATCTTTTGTCTCTGTCTTTTCCAGAGATGAGGTTGTATCAACATTAGAAATTTCTATGGTAGAGGCAATTTTCTTGTTCCATGATCAGAATAGTGCAACAGAGTGCTTGTCTATTTTGAGTGCTTCTAGGAATAACAATAATGCAATTGATATTAGTAATAATTATTTAAAATAGAGTAAATGATAAATTAATTATTATTTCTGTAATTATCACAAATATCCTTATTATATTTTGTATATACATTCCTATTTTGTGTGTTGTACATTAGCTTAGGAAAGACTGAACACTTCAATAATCACTGTTCTCAAAAATGAAAGCCTATATCTGTATATCCTTCACACTGTGCCATTGTAGATACATTTCCATATTGAGTTTTAATTTGGCTCATTTTTATTTATGTAACTCTAAAAGATTCACATAAGACTATCTCATAGTTCATATTTCTTTTTCTATTATATTTCTTTTGAATTACCTGCCTTCATCTCCCTAATACAGTCTGAATCTTCAGAGTAATAACTGAGTATCAACAACTTCCAAAGACTTGCGCAGAAAACAGTGACCCTGAGAAACAGAATTATCAGACATGCCCTTACAGATACAAATGCAAACATCTTTTTGAGGTGTCTAAAAACGTTTGCCATTAAGCTTTACTGATACCATATTTAAGCATTTTCTAAATATAAATATGTAAATGCTTCTGTGCTTAGAAAGCTAAATGTTTTCACCATCGGGTTGATAGATGGTCCGTAATACAAATCTTCTCACCCTTAAACTTAAATAATAATAATTTTGCAACATTTAGCTAAATAACCACTTAGTTCTTAACTGCAGTACTTGATCTTAAGTATTTATTTTCCAGACTTGAGAACGAGTCAATCCTTTCTGATGCCCAGAACAGTAACTTCCTTGAATTATACACTGAAGCTAAAGTCATACTCTGAAATAAATTATAGATGTCTGAGGGAAATTAACTGCTGCATGTCATATCAAAAGGGTGTAATGAGAATTAAAGGGAGATACTGAATGTTGATATCTAATCTAGGACCAGCAAGTAATTCAAGTTTACAGCAAGTAATCACAAGTTTTTTTAGCTAGTAAAAATATGACAACACAGTGCAGAATTCCACAACTGTAGGACAATTGTGATGCATGTAAAAATGCTGGTAAATATTATTTTAGCTGAAATACACCTGCAGAACTGGCCAAATTTATTTTTCTTAGGTTTGCAACCGCAAACCCATATAGGCACAACTGAAGACCCCAGAAAAGTCTGGAGTTTGGTGAGCGCCATCTAAACTCAGATTTGTTTTTTCTTTAATAGGATGTCACCACAAAGCGATGCGATTCAGAAAAGATGTATTTTAGGGAAGAAGACTCTGTAACTAATGTTTGTGCCCTCATTTTCTCTTTGGATTTTCTCTTGAGGGAAAAAAA